ATGTCTGGGAGGGACTGTCTTGATTAATTAATCAATTTGGAAAGACCCATCTTAATTTTAGTTGGGACCATCCCTGAGCAGGTGATCCTGGACTGTACAAAGTGGGGAGGGCCAGCTGCGCACTCAAATACATTAATTCATTGCTCTCTATTCTTAACCCTGGGCATGATGTGACCAATTCTCTCAAGCTCTTGCTGCTGTGAGCTCCCTGCTGTGATGGATTGTAACCTAGAACTGTGAGCCAATTAAATCCTTTCCCCCTTAAGTTGCTTTCCTGAGGGTATTTTTCTTACAGAAATGGAAAGGAAACTAAGATGTAATATTAATTAAAATATTCTTCAAAACATTTCAAGATTCCTAAGTAGAACAGGAAACCTAATAGCCAAATGCTGAAATGTTCCATAAGTGAACTCGATTCCTCTGCTTGTTCTGTTAAGGGTTTGTTTGCCTTCTTTTGAAATAAGTTGACTCCCCCTCCCCCAGTTTGATAGTCTAGAAACTCTTCAACAGACCATAAATTAAATATCTCTACTAGTCTGGAAGTTTCTGCCTTTGGCATTTTCTGGTCAAGAAGACAGGATGCAGGCAGTGCAATGTGATTTCCTCTCAGTTTGACATAGGTGGGTAAAGAGGGAATGCAACCAGGCTGGGATCACAGTTGGGCTGAGTCCAGGGACAAGGATGGGTAAGAACCTTTAAATTTTTGATATTTTGTTCAACACAGATTTCTTATTTTTCATTCATTTTGATTTTTAAAAATACTGCATCATCAGTTTTGGCACCTACTCAAAGTCTGTTCCCCGGGGCAGGGTGAATGCTTCACTCACTTTACTCTAGGCCTGCCCCTGATCAACCAGCTTCTTGGCTCTGGGCTCAGGTGGCTCTATGAAGCCACAGCACAGCATCTCTCCCCATTATCCTCTTCAGCTCACATGGCCTAGAAAGGCGACCTAAGCCATCCCAGTGTAAAAGTGAGAAGAGAGAACAGAGCACCCTCCCTCTTCATCTTACAGTCTAGCAGAAGCAGGGAGGAAAGAGCAGCTGATGGAAGGGAAGCTTGGGAGTTTCAGATGGCCTCTATCCAGTGCTGATGTGTTTCTGGACACAAATCATAAGCAAAAGTACCAAGGCCCAGAATTATTTATTAATTCAAAAAGTATGAAGTATCCCCCCAAAGAATGCTAAGGAAGAAAAAACTCAGAGATGTGACACGCACACATTATAAAAGAACCACATGGCTCCTGTAAATAAGAAAACGGGCAGGAGTACCAGTGGTAGAGCTGAACTAACACCAGTGGCACCTTTTCACTCCCCATGGGAACACACTAGTGCTTTCACTCTTACTGCTAAGCTTCTCAAGGATGTGCTAGTATTTTCCACGGTGATACGGGTGCAGGCAGAGCAGACCCTGAGCTCCCCAAAGAACGCGGGACCTTGCTTTTCTGTTTTGTGTTTGGGGTGAGTTTCATGGAAAAGGGGTACTTCTAGAGTGTTATTTTGCTTAGTGTCCTAGTGGTTCTTCCTGTAAGAGAGAGGTACAGAGAATTAGAAGACACAAGAAGCAGCCTTCTTCTGGGCAGTTGCTGTAGCCATGCCAACCTTAGGTGTCACACTGTGTCTTCTGGAGGTAAGGGAGAAAGCCCAGGGAATGCTAACATACTGTCTTCTTTAAACGTCAACTGATTATCATCCTTTGATTGCTTGTGAAGGGAAATCCAACGCCTCCAGTTCTTTATCCTAATATGGAAGGAACCTTTGGACATTGAAAGACTTTGGGGAAAATAGAAACTAAAGCTACAGGCAATAAAGGCTCTGAGAGGGAAGGGACAAAAATTTGGCTTAAAAGCAATAAAATTATCTGATGAATTCTGCTGAGGTTAGATAAGTATTGATCTTTAAGCATTAAGTAGGTATACATCTATTCATGCATTTCTATACTATCTGAGCAGCGGCTGGAACAGAAGTTTGGGAGTTTCAGCTGTCCTCTATCCAGTGTTACTTCTATCAGATTCATTGTTAAAAACACCTAAGTATATATTTAATTCCATAGGATCCCAGAACACTTTGGGGATTTAAACTTATAAGCCAACCTCAAAGAGACTGATTCTTGCAACTACAACACAGACACCTCTGGGGTGAAATGTGGCAACAGTTTGACAGGCATAGCAGTAACTTAGGCCAGAAAGGATTTATCCAATTAAAATTATGGGATGAATTTTGGCTGGCAGAATGTAATTACCAGCCTTGGAATGGATCCAGGATCCTGAGGTTAACACCCCTCCTCTTGCCAACAGCCCTCCTACCTGCCAACACTCCCGAGATGGAGAAGGCTGGATCTGACATAATCGCACATAATACTGTTGTGACATCTAAGTACAATGATGATGTGAGAAGCGTCATGAACCTGATTTTTTTTCACACTCATTATGTTACTTATTTTTATGCCACATTAGGCTAGAAACCAAATGTCCACATAAATGTTAATTTCCTCTAAACTGTGCTTAAAAAATATAATTAGAAAATTTAAAAAATAGATTTTAAAATTAATTTATTCTGCCAAAGTAGTTATTTAGTGATTATTTCATTTAAAGGAGCGAAATTCGATCAAAATGGTGACATTTAATCCTTAAGTTAAAAAGAAAAAAAAAAAAGGAAAGGCCCAACAACAGCCAAAAACAAGTCTTGATTTTTGGTTGTTGCTGTTTTGTTTTGTTTTATGCTTTTTGCAAAAGATATGTGTTCTCAAGGTTGACTGGCCTGGGGAAGGGAGGGTCTGCTTAAGCCTCATCCATGTTCACTGTAAATTGACTAAATGAGGATGTGCAAATATTGCTTTTGCCCCGGGTAGAACCAGTTCTTGGCACTCCTGGGCAGAGCCCCCTGCTGGTGCACCACCAATGGATAAAGACCCCATCATGAAATAGTCAGACCCTATAAAAACCATGCATATGTTGGAGAGGCGCGGAGAGCTGGTGGAGGAGAGCGCAGGAGGCAGGGGAAAGGAAGGAGACTGGCGCCGGGCACGCGTGGCGAGAACCCGGGAGGCGGAGCCGGGCTTTTGGGGCACGCAGACGTGGGCGCAGGGAGACTAGTCTCCTCAGGCGGCCGGAGCCCGGTGGCCCGGCCTGTGCCTCCCACCCCACCCCCGCGCCGCCGCGCTCCCTTAGCCGGCCGAGCACTCCCTCAGGTGACTCCCGCCTCGCCACCCCGGACGTTGCGCAGCAGCGCAGAGGCCCCGCGAGCGCCGGTCCCGGAGCGCATCGCCGCTTCCAGGCCGCAGGTGACTCGAGGAAGAGTGCGACTGAATCATGTTGCTCTGACCTGCTAGCTCCACCAGGGCCCAGGTTTGGGGGTCTCTCACCGGTCATCCGACGGTGATTCGACCGGTGGACAGGCTGAGATCTTCCTCGTCAAAACCAAGTTGGGTGGGCCCTTGCTTTAGGGCACCTTCCAGGAGCAACTGCTGTCCCGACGTCTAGTATTGGCGCCCATGTCAGCTTTTGCTGTGAAGGTAGATTTTTCTAACACCATCTTTGTGTGATTTAACTGTCCACGGGGAATCAAAATGTGGAACGAGAGGATGAAACTAATCCTTTCTTTTGCACTGTTAGGGGTTGCCATAAACACCATTTGTTAAAAAGCATAATTATGTTGGGAAAGTGCCTGATGAGACAATTAAGCTACATAAACACACTGAAAACAAATGAAAACCAGAAGACGCCCACGCCCCTTGGGTAAAGCGATTCTTTTGCGTGTGCTTTTATTTATATAGGAAAGAGAGGGGTCTGAGTTGCTTTATTACTACGTTATTAATGTCTAGAAAAACCCAGTGTTCCTATTTTTATGAAATTTCAATGATGAGTCCATGGAAAACTTCCTGCAAACCTGAAGAAGCTGCGAAGCCTGGCACTCATTGAAGCCCACAAAGGAAGACAGATTTGCTCATGGAGCGCTCCCTCGGTCTTACTAGAGCCACCTTAGTGTACATTCCCGCTTCAAGTTTGTTTCAGAGTTGAACTGGTTTACTGCAGTGTTCCTCACATGGAGAACTTTTCTGGACACAAAACGACCATCATCAAATGTTTCTGGAATGAATTCATGAAGGCCACATTCATTTTTAGTTGTGATATTTAAAAGAGGCCAACCTTATGATGGCCCGATCTTGAATTATTTTCTTATATTTTTGAGATATTTTAATCCTTTTAGATTATGATATCATTTGAGGCATGGAAAGATGGGTTGCCAAATGTCATTCTGGAGTTCTAAAAAGAATCAATGCAACCTTCAAAACCTGTGTAATCAGTATGTGACAAAAGAATCAGTCACATTTTTGGCATTATTGAGTAACATATATGAGAATATGTGTCTTTCAGTTCAAGGAACAGCCTTGTGAAAAGATTTTTAACTGATTTAGGAACTTTGGAGATCAGAGTACAAAGAGGAACTTACTCAATCAAATGGTTGTCATTTAAAGGACCCACCTGGATCTCTTTGTACAATTGCAATGTCCATTGACCTATAGAGGTTTCTTCTGTCACAAGTTTTTTTTTTTTTTAATAAAAATCAACATATTAAATAGCTTTCCTCAATGTCTTTTTCTGCATTATCCCAGAGAATGTAATTTGACAAAAGGATCCTGCCTATGTGTTAAATAGCACAGGTCAGAAAATAGTGATAAGCTGAGGAAGGCTGTACTCAAGCATACTTTAATGAGGAAGTTTCTCTTCTGAGATGGTCCAGACTGAGTAATTTGCTAGGTATTTTGCAGTGTTGTTAATGCATTTGTATGTCCATGTGTACATGACCACTTATGCATGGTATACTATTTGAATCAACCTGAGGACTTCTATAGATGCTCTCTAGGATGGTACAGTGAAGGTACATACTATGTTGCTCTAGTTTCCAGAAAGTTATGATTTTTAGAGTTAACGAACACCAACACAACAATGAACTACAGAGACTGCAATGATGAATAATTTGTCTTTAATTCCAGAAAAGTTATGTCTTCCAACAGACTTGGGCTCTGTTTGGCTGCCTGCTCACTAAATATTTCAGAAGCCAGGAGAAAATACATCACTGTAAGCACAGCAAAAGCAGCTCTTCTTGGAAAATAAAACAGTAGGAACAACAGACAGTTGCAGCAAACATTGCAGGGTTTTGATAATATGGCGATTTTCATACTCCACACACTACATCTAGAAAGTACTTTCTTCCTGCTCAGCCACCCCCACCCTTGTCTTGAACTGTTACAGCTTCCTCTGCAGTAAGTCATACTGAGACCTCTTACTCTGGTGTGCGCACATGGTCTTCTCAAATGCCAGCATTAAGCCCAATTGTGCAACTCTACTCTTTGGCCTGCAAGTGAATCTCTGAGATGCAGATTGTTCAGGATATTGACAGACTCCAAGGGAGGATGTATTTACCTAAAAGCTTATTGTTTCCCTCATGGAACAATTATTTGATCATTAATAGAATTAAGCATAATAATACATTATACTTTTTATTCAGCAAGTTAAATGAGAAATGAGCTTGCCAAATGCCAGCCAGTTTTCAAAGCACTCCTGCCAGCACAGCCCATGCTATCGTTACAGTATTATCATTGTGACTGCGTTTTCTCGCTATAAAAGACTGTTAGGCAATTACATTTAAGTGATGTGCATGAGGTCACCCAGTAATTCAGGAAAGAAGACTGGAACTCAAGCCTCCTTTCTCCCTTGGCCAACATTACTGAGAGACGCTACTAGGCTTTTGTCAACCTCCACAAAATGTTCCTGCAATGACACATGGTTTAAATAGCATTCACTCTTAGGATCAAACACATACACAAAACATAGGGCATTTATAGACTTAGAATCATTGAAGGAGGAAAGCTTTGCTATTATAATAATTTAAATAGAAATGCTTTGATATAAGTCAGCAGTTTTTTTTTGCCAATAGTATTAGGTTTTCAGCCTTAAATATATTTTAATTTCTGATTGTCATTTTTAATGTGATGTTCATGAGAAAGGTGTTTCCCGCTGTCCCCCCCCCCCCAAAAAAAAAAAACTAGAGGTGTATTTAAGTTACTGTCTTGCAACTTTGAAATGTCTGTGAAAATTCCTGGTAATTGCTGATTTAAAAAAAAAAAAAAAAAAGAAACCTTTTGGAGTCAGTGTACAGCTGATTCTTTTGCACATGCCTTGTAGGAAGAGCCAGCTTGGGCTCCCATTATCAGAAACAGTACATCTAATGGAGCTGGGTTACCTGTGTCTGTGATTGAATGAATGTGCTGAGATGTTTATGGAAGAGAACCACTGATGGATTCCTGGGTCTCAACTCACAGTCTTTATCAGCTTATTAGTGGCAGGCGCTCAAATGGAATTATACCTATTATGCTCCATTACAAATACCAAACAATTTACTTCTGCTGAGATTCAGACTGACAGCTCCACCCGCCAGCACTCACTTTTTTTTTTTTTTCCCCTGTATGCATGCTTAAGTAATTGCAGGAGAGAGTGTTTCATTCTTTGGGCATTTAGTTCCTTGAATCATTTGAAACCGAGAATAAAAGCTTTTCAGAAGAAGATTTAGGATTAAAAAAAAAAAAAAAAGAAAGAAAAAGATCCTATCTCTTTTCTTCCAGGAGCTAGAATGTGTTGAAAAAACTAGATCACATAGGAGATTGCATTCCCTTCTTCTCGTTCCCTCCTGTATAGTTTATTTAAATGTGTAGGGAGGGCAGCGCTAGTTAAGATAGTGGACCTCCTTCACAAATAATTTAAAGGAATTTATGTTTAAGTGGGTGGAATAAAGCTATATAAATCTTATTTTTTCTAATTAAGCAAAGTAGGCACATTTGAATGGCCTAATAGGTCTTTAGTACAGGAAGCTGAGTTATAAATTTTAGACCTACATGAGTGCAGGCCTGTGGATGCTCATTTGACTGTGTAAGTGACGGGATTTTTATCTTCTTACACTAGTAACATTAATAGCGCAGGGCTGCTGTGAGCTCTGTAGTCACTGGGTGTAACGTCTTTTTCCTTTGCTCTGAAAAGATTAGTTGTTAAGTTGCCAGGGACAGAGGGATAACAGCATAACTAAAGCTTTAATTACGGTCTGAAAACTTTTGCCTTTCACTTTGAATTTGCTTTTGTAGGCTTAAGGGGTACTTTTAAGGAGGCCTGTAAACTCAAAATAACTTTGGGTTTGTGTATGACTGCCACACTAGGGTATGGCAGCTTTCTCCCCCAGGTTACACATTTGGGTGAGTCATAAGTTACCAAGGCTGGAAGTAGTTAGTATCCAAAGGCTGTTCGTGGCCCCCCAAGAGGAGATGGTGTAGTCAGAACAGTCTCAATGGACAGGTGCATACATACTAAAACCCTCTCGCTGTGCTAGGCACTAACTGCCTTTTCCTGGTTCCTCTGCATTTCAGACATTGCTCAGGGCAGTTTGATTTCTAGTTTTTTGAGGAAATATTGACAAAGCCAAGGAGATGAGATTGTTAAAGCACAAAATGTGGATAATACAGTTTTGATTGTTGTTTTGGATTTATGTTTTTGAGACAGGATCTCACTATGTAGGCCAATTTGGCCTTGACTTTCCTGCTTGAGCCTCCCAAATTCTGACATTACAATGCCGTACCATTACACTCAGCTTAGAGTGATGCAATTTACCATTGAACAAAGGGCTCACATCTTAGACTGAGTTAAGTGAACTTTGGCAGGTTCAAAAGCAAGTCTCCGAGAAGGTCTCATAGATATCCAATGCTTGTATCTGAACTGAGCCATCTATCTGGCTGTCGATTTCTATATATCTAAATCTATACCTATATCAGATCTATGTTTATATGTCTGCTATAAGAAGTGGGCATTACTGCTTATGAACTTCATGATTAGTCAGTGTCACCTTCAAAGTTCACACTTTATAGAATTTTTCTATAAAATTAAATTTGATTATATGAGAAGAAATTAAATATTAAGATTTCAGTACAAAAAAGTTTTATTGTGTGGTTTTCTTATTTTAAAATATATTTCTATTCTTTGGGAATTTAATACATGTATACCATGTATTTTGATCATGTTATCTCCCACTTCTCCCTTTTACTCCTCCCAGATCCACCCCTACCTCCTTACCCCCTCCCAATTTTGTAGCCTCTTTTTATTCAAACCCTCCAGTTTAAATGTAGGGCCATCCGGTTGACCTATCAGGGGTCACACTTTAAAGAAAACTGAAATTGACTGTCCCTACCCTAACAGCCATTACTTGTCAATAGTTCCTGAGTTAGGGAGAGAGGCTGTGAGCCACACAGAAATGTTGGCTGGCCTGATCTTGTGCAGGTCTTGGGTAGGCAACCAAAGCTTGTGAGTTCATGAGTGCAGTGGTCCTGTCATGTCCAGAAGACACAGTTTCAGTCCAGTCTTTCAAGACCTCTGTCTCTTACAATCTTTCTGTCTCCTCTTATGCTATAGTCCTTGAGCCTTAGAGGAGGTGGGGCCTGTTATATAGATATCCCATTTGTGGCTGTGGATTTCACAGACATGTATTCTCTACTTTGGCCAGCTGTGAGTTTCTGTGTTGACCACTGTCTAGTGCACACAGGAACTTCTCTGATGAGGTCTGAGGACTTCACTAATGTGAGTGTAGAGATACATTATGTAGAGAGCAGTTTGATACTGTGTCCACTTAGTACAGTAATGGTAGGTTCACCTTTGGGTCCTATGAGCTCCCTAGCCATGTGTTCTTGGTTAGAGTTACAATACCAAGCATAGGTTTCCTCCTGTGGAGCAGGCCTTAAATCCAATCATAAAATGATTGGTTACCCACATAACAATTGTGCCACTCTTGCACCTATGGACATATCTTGCCAGATCAGTCAGTATTGTAGCTTATAGAGTTCAGAGCTGGGTAAGACTGTTGATGACTTTTCTCCCCATAGCAGCTTGCATAGCACCTTCAGGTACTATGAAAGCTAGTTGGCAGGGAGGAAGCTTCCTGGTTAGTACCAGTTTGAATTCTCTACATCCTTGTCCCAAAGTATGTGATGTCTTCAGCAATTGGGTCTTACCACTGTGCTATTTTCTTTACAGGGGAAAAGCATTGTGAAGTAGTAGTATTCAATATGTTTTCTAATCAAGAATAAAACATGACCATTCAGCAAAACAACATCAATAGTTTCTCCCCTTTGACCTATGGCTTCCCTAGTTATGGGCTTTGACCATGTTTACAGTAGCAGGCACGAATTCTCTCTTGGCGATCAGGCCTTAAGTCCACAAATCCAATCAAGAGAGTGGCTAGTTACCCTCATAAAGAGTTGTCTCACTTATTTCACCAGTGGGAACATCTTTCCTGATAGGTCGGTATTGTAGCTTGCAAGGGCCATTGCTGGGTCAGACCATTCATGTCTTTTCTCCCCCAGAAGCCCACATAACACCTTCCAGTACTGTGAAAGATAGCCAGCAAGGAGAGAGTTTTCTGGTCAGTTCAAGATTGATTTCTTTATGTCCCGCAACCAAATTCTGTGGTTTCTTCAGCAGTAAGGTTTTACCATCTAGTCATGATAGATAAGCAAGAGAAAAGCACTAGCCTGTATTGGCTTGGGTGCCTCCCTGACCAGACTAGCAACTTATAGAGAAGGGTAACCCATGCCTGACACTGAGATTTTCATGACTTTTACACACATGAAATCACAGCAGCTGTGGTTATCTGAACAAGAACTGCACAAGATCAAGCCAATTAAATTTTCCAGCATGGAGTGGGAACTGAGAAGCTATTGGTTGATGGCTGTCAGGGGAGGAAGAGTCAGTTTTCTTTGAGGTGTGACTACTGCCCATGTGCCAGTGGACAACCCTATACCAATTCACATATGCATAGCACTAGTTTGTCCGAGTGAGTTAGAAATAATTAATAACTTTAAAAGGAGGACATGAACTTGCGAGGAAGATGTATTAAGGGGCCGGGGAGGAATTGGAGAGAAGGAGTAGGGGTGGATATGATCAAGATACATTGTATACACGTGTGAAATTTTCAGTCAATAAAACAGCAGATCAGTCACTACAATAGTGGCTTATTGATAAGCTGAGTCAGAGTTTAGTTCCTGTCTTTGCATAAGTTTTCTTGGGAAAGGTAGGCTTCAGGTAGACCAGAATGTTCTTTAAGTAATCAGATACTGTGTAAATCTGTGTAAATACTGTGTAAATCTACCTCCCATTCAGTGGTGTCTACCCCTAAATCACATCTCACCATTTTTCTGAACACATACATCTTTAAAAATTTTAGTTATCATTTATTCATGTGTATATGTGTGCCGACATGAGTATATATGAACCACATGTGTGCACATGCCACAGCGGCCAGAAGAGGGTACTGGATTCCCTGGAGCTGGAATTACAGTTGGTTATGAATTGCCTGATAAGGGTGCTGGGAATTGAACTTAGGTCATACTATGCTGTTAGTGGAGTAATGGTGCAAAATTTAAGGGGTCTGTAACATGTACTTACATATAGGTCTTCTGTAAAAAAAATCTGATTACTATGCAAGAACAAAACTAAAAATTTTCCACTTTAAAAAATTTAAGGATTTTTAAAATATTTTAATGTAATTACTCAAATCATTTTGGAAATAACCATTTTGTGAGATTAATTGGAGAGCATTGGAAAAAATTAATCAACTGTAAAAAAATAACAAAATTGGTTAAGACCAATAAACATTGCATGGTTCTGCCATTTGGGGGAGGAACATGTTGGAAGAAGTAGGAACTTCTGACTGTTGTGAACTGGGCTGAGGAAAATGTTGAGTCTTCTTTATTCTGTATGAAAAAATGATAACCTGTTCAGATCACAAAAGAAAAGAACTCATTTGACAACAAAACCATGCCTTCTTTAGATAAGGGTGAAAATGTGTTTTTTTACAATTTCACATTTTTAGGCAGCATTGTTCCAGCTGCCTATTTGGAAGTTATCCAGGCTATGGATAACAGAGATTAGAGAGGGCGTTCACGTTTGCCTGGGAGCAGTGAACCTTACCCCTACTTATCCTCTCTCTGGTGTTAGAGTGGAAGAGTGGCCAGGAAAGGTAAGAGAAAGTTCAGGTTTCTTATTCCTCAGTGGATACTGTTTTTACAAACGTGACCAGCCTGCGACAATCTAATCACTGGTCAGCACCCTGGCAAAGCTGATCTTGAGGAACTGTTTCAACAACAGTGTTTGGAGTTTGCAGTAGCACACTGTGTCTCTGGGATTCACCCTTCTGCCCATGGTATTAAGAGCACTAAATGTTCAGGGAGATGAAAAAATTATCACTTATAACTTTGACCCTTACAAATTCACAAGAGATGGAGAGGAAACACCGTAGTTTCTAATGAGCTCCTTGAACTCTTCCTGGCAGACTGAGGGCATGCTTTGCCCATCTGTATCTCATTTTCCTGAGTAGAGGTAATGATGAGGTTGAAAAACCACTTTAATGTTAACTCCTACCCCCTTTCCTCTGACTTTTTTCTTTTTCTTTTTCCCTATGCAACAGACTAAGGTTTTCTGTAATGCAGATCTGTCACATGCAGGATTTCAACCTCAGGGGTAAATTTAATTTGGAAAATTTGAGCTACGTCACTTGAGGTGTTTTAGAATGAGGCAAATAGGGAGAAAAGAAAGACCTTTTGCCTGAACTGTCTAGCTGCATCGTGGTTAATTACAAAATGCAGAGGCTCATAACATTTGGGGAAAAGGCCTCCTAAAGGATAATTGTCTTCTTCTCCATATGACCTCTAAAATCCTTCTATGATGTTGCCTCAATTTTCTTTAATAGTGAATTGTCTAACATTTGGAATGTCAATTTGGAATTTAGCCGAGCTACACCAAACACCAGAAATAGGAAACGAGACTTGTTTCCAAAGGACTCACCTTGCTGATTGTGCTGCATTTTAATGTGACCTGACAGCTAAGGGCTTATTTCCCAAGGAAATTTAAGCCCCAAGTTTGCTTTACTTTTGATCCAAGAAAGAGTTAACCTTCAGCACTGAGGGTTTCACACAAAAACAGGTTCAGAATTGTCCAGATGTAATAGTGATTTTAATCGTCTTCAAAACAATTATCAACAATCACATTAACTCTGAAATTGGCTAGTACACAAAGTTCTTCCTGACATCAGGACTCGTCTGCCCCAGAGGTCCTCCTGTGTAGGAGACAGTTGAGAACCAGCAGGTCTGGATGCAGCCTTCCTCCTTCCCTTGCCCTTTGCTTCATTGGCAGCTACTATGCCTCATGATTTAAACATGGACATTTCTAATTAAATGAGAGCTCAGCTGCATTCTTGAACTAATTTATAACATTTGATTTGAAATGTAATAGCTTCAATCTTCATCTGATTAAAAACAGTCATATACTGTACATGGTTACTATTCTGATGCTCCAACATGCAGTTTTTATTTTTACATTCCCCTTCTACACAGCTGTTCATCTAATATCATCCAAAAATTTTCAAGACTTTTTTGGGTAACAGCATGCTCAGGCATTCTTATGAGGCAGAAGTATTCATATTCTAGAATTCCACTGTTTTCAGAACAGTAAAGGGATGTTTTTCCACTAGTCACCCCTTTCCAGGGAAACCAACTTTCAGATAATCCAGTTAACTTTCCTTGGGATGAAGTGGAATGTAGGATGTCCTAGTGACATAAAAAATAGTTAATATTGACACTTGTCATTAACGAGTGCTTTGTATGCAAAACTCCATACTATCTTCAAGCTTATATCTTAAGAAAGGGGTTCTTAAAGTGGATCCAAAATTGGTTTATAAATGTTTTCAGTGTTATTTGTAAGTTTTTATGAATGTTCTTTTTGTATGCATATAATTTTAGTTGGAGAACTTCTGCAATAAGGGGGAAATCAAGCAGATGTAAAGCAAGGATCTAAAAATGCTTCAGTTTAGCCTACAGAACTTAACCATTGACTAGGATGGAAAAAGCATCCCCAGGAAACTCAAGAAATGAGTCTCAAGAGGTCGTCAGAGGTGAGATTATGAACTTTTACATGGTTGTGGAATTCCAGTCTTACCTTAAAGGCAGCAGAAACTATTGCAATGTTTAAAGCAAGAAAATGGTATGATTGGCCTTCCATTCAGAAAGATTATCTTGCTGGTATGATAGAAAATGGAGATGATAGAGGACAACAGAAAACAGTGGATGGTAAAGGAGAGAAGATGAGAGAACATAAAGGAACAGGTGGACCATTAGGGAAGCTGATAGTGGTTCAAGACGATGGAGACCAAGCAGACTCCGCAGGAAGTTGCAGAGTGAGGAACAAAGCAGTTGTATGATAGTGTCATCACTTAGAAATGATGCAGGAAGAGGGACTTGGGGGAAAGCATGAATGCACTGTTATTTGCTGTCATTTGACTGTTGGACTTACAATTTAGACTTCTAGAGAGATGTATACCTCTGGTCTGTGTTTATTTAAAGCTTACAACTTTTTCAGTATTTTTATTAGGTTATGTCTCATTTTCTCTTTCTTTCTCCTTCCTTCTGTCTGCATTTCCCTTGTATCAAAATGATGCATGTAGCCGCAAGTCCATATTATATAGGGTTTATTAAAAAATCATTAAGTGCCTCTTTTCCCACAGCTTCCATCATACCTATACATTGGTTTCCCTCTCTCAACTCCCAGTACTTTCAGGAAGTTTATTTGCTTTATTATTTGAGATATAGTTCCAGATAATATCTTGATTTTTCAGTTTTAGGCATTATCTATTAACTTCTCACTACAGAAGATGAAAGCTTAGCTTCTTTCTTCCCCATTCTTCACTATCAACACACACACACACACACACACATGTACAAACACACACTTTCTGATCCTTCTTTCTGTTGATATAGTTGAAATTTTAATTAATATTAGTGGTTATAGTACTATATGTATGTAAATATTCACAATTGATTCATTTAGGATATTATTTTTACACATTTTCTACATACCGTTTTCCTTTTGTTGTAGTTGATCATTATCTTTTCTAACTTTTTTTTATTACTTGGTATTATTCTGTTTTCCTCGTTGCTAGTTTGGCTAGGTATAGAACTTTGGGTTAGAAGTAACTATGAGAGATCGAGTTATTGACTTCATATTTCCTTGTCATTCATACTTGTGAAGACTTTATGACTCTTTTTTTCCCTTAAGATTTTATTTATTTGTATTTTATGTGTGTGAGTGTTTTGCCTAGATGTACACAAGTTTACCATGTACATGCCTTGTGCCCGTGGAGGCCAGAAGAGGGTGTCAGATCTCCTGGAACTGATGTTAAGGACAGGAGTTAGCTGTTATGTGGGTGCTGGGAACCAAACTCAGGTCCTTTGTAAGACTAGTAAGTACTCTTAACTGCTGAGCCATCTCTCCAGTTCCACGTTTATGATTCTTGATCCTTTGTATGTGACCTGCCTCTTCTCTCTGGAAACTTGTAAGTTCTTCATTTCGTTCCTAGTGTTCTGAAATTTTATATTGCTTCTTTTTATGGATTTCTTCATCCATCACGCTAGATCCTTACTAGGCCTTCTAGTCCTTGAAATGCTTGTCTGTTAATCATGCATAACTCAGATTTTCTCAGTTCTTTTTAGAAACCCTATTATTAAAATTCTTCTATTC